TGTTGTATACCTACAATGTACTAATAAAAGAATTCAATACAAAAAAATTAAAATTAAAATTAAAATTAAAAAAAAATTTAAGCAAGCAAGCAAGCAAGAAAGAAACAAAGAAAGAAAGAAAGAAAGAAAGAAAGAAAGAAAGAAAACAAGATGGGGGAAATGGTAATAATCAGATAATAAGGAGCTTAGTTTGGGGCATTTCTAAGTGTGACATTCTCCTCCACAAGGAGGGGTTAATTGGCCAGAAAGATTAGCAGATGAGGAAAAGAACCTCAAAGAAGTTACATGTTATATAAGGTTATTGGACAACAAAGGCACCCTAGGGATGAGACACAAAATAACACCTGAGAGGAAAGAAAGAGGACCCTTAAAAGTAAAACAAAGGCAAAAGCAAGTTCTCTCTTCCTCATAATTTGGCCAGGAAATGGGAGGACGGAACTGATGAAAGCTAATAAACCAGAAGAGAAATTGAAAAATGTTACCCAATTGCTAGTTTATAATATTCATTTTCCATTAAGTTCTTGATTGTGCATACTAAATTTATTTTAGCATTAAACATTATTAAAAAGGTGTCTGGTGAGAATGTGTGAAGAGAGCAAATGAAGAGCCAGGCATAGTGGCACATTCCTGTAATCCCAGTACTCTGAGAGCCTGAGGCAGGAGGATTATCGAGCAACTTAGTGAATTTGTGAGACACTATCTCAAAATTTTAAAAAATAAAAATAAAAAGGAGCTGGGGATGCAAAGGCCCTGAGTTCAATCCCCAGTACACACACACAGAGAGAGAGAGAGAGAGAGAGAGAGAGAGAGAGAGAGAAGGAAAGCTAATGGAGCAGAACTCTATTTGAGCTGCTCTACCCATGTGGACTAAAGGCACACATGATAACAAAATTCAGTGCACCTTTGAGTAACTGCAGGCACCTCTAGAAGTTTAGGCTGGGAACAAAGCCTGTCCAAGATAGGCAAAACAGCTGGGATCAGGTGGGTAGTTGTTGGAGGTGGTGGGAATAATTTGTCATTTGGAGTTCGTTGCTCAAAAGACACCTGGAAGAGGATGAGATGCTGGAATACACATGTGATGATAATATTCTTTTACACTGATCTAAAAGAGTGCCCCATTCACACACTTCTCCAAAACTCCAAACCTTCAGGAGTTCACTTGGTCCAGTTCTTCCCTGGAACAAACCTTATAGAACAACTATAAACTAGGGCATATTTACCAGATTTGCCAAGAAAACATCAAAAAAGGGGAAAAGCAAGAGCAAACTGCTATCAGTAACCTGATGGAGACGTCTCTGCAGGAAAAACATAAAACCAAACCAAGTCATCCCAGTTGATTCCCAACTGTCCCTCAGGACCAAGACAACCCACCCTTACTCTGCTCCTTTACACTCTCTTTTCAATATTCCCTTGCCAGATGGATCCCTGTTAGTTTCTGTCTGCAAAGGGGACTAGTATGAAATTGGAAGCCAGGAGGAAGAATGGACTCTTTTTCTATTTACAGTGCCTTTAAATTTCCCTCTGCCAGCAGAAAACAGTTTTAGTATCAAAGATCCAATACTTCTCAGTGGCTTGAGTTACAGAGTCTGAGCAACACCACGCCGTTTCCAAAGAGCCTCACCCATGTCTGTCTTAGGGGTCTGAACACAATAGCTAAGTGGCAGCCTGTTTAGAGGTCCACTCAACAGCTACATGGTATGCACCACTCAAAAAGCCAATACACAGACTATAGTCCTCTGAGCTCCTCAGCATAAAACAGCCCACTTATTCCCTCAACTCCAATTGTCACTGCTTTCTACAGGGACTGATAGTCCATTCATCTTCTGTCATAGTTACTCTCTCATAACTGAGACAAAATACCCGACACCCACAACTTAGAAGTTTATTTTGGCTCACATTTTCAGTCCACGGTTGGGTAGATCCAAGGCAAAATGGCATGGTGGAAGAGCCTGGATGGAGGAAATCTGTTCATGTCATGGAGAAAGCAGAGAGGAGAGTAGTCAAAGAAAGAGATGTACTCTCACAGTTCATGTCCCCATGATCCACCTCTTTTGACTGATGTCATCTCCTACCAGCACATTGTGCTCTGAGCTGGTCTGTAGATTAATCCATTGGTAAGTACAGCAGCCCCATGATCCAATTACTTTCCATAAGCCCACCTCTGAATGACATCTTTGGGGGTCATTCTAGATCTAAATCACGATACTTTGACATTTCCTTTTTGCTCTTTCAGCCTTCCAATACTACTGTGTCATAATTTTAAGGTACATCACAAATTCTTCAATAGACTTCTCTAGAAAAGGTGGACTCTAATTCATCTCTGAATGTGATCTGGAAAGGAACTTGCTGTGGATGAGTAGAACATGATGGAAATTATGATATATTGTGATTCATAAAAGGTACCACACCTTCCTCCTGCTCACTCTTTCCTGGGGAGAAGCTTTATGGGAAGCCAACTGCTGTGTCATGAGGACACTCAAAAAACTCTGTGGAAAGGCCTATGTGGCAAGGAACTGAGGCCATTTACAAACAGCTAGCTAGAAACTGAGGCCTCCTGCCAATAGCTATATGAGTGAGTCACCTTGGAAGCAGATCTTCCATCTCTAGCAAAACCTTCAGAAAACTTCAAGCCCATGCAAAACCTTGAATGTGAACTGATGTGAAATCCGAAGGTTCTTCTGGATTCATAAAACCTCAGAAACTGTGAGATGATGCATGTCTGTTATTTCAAGACATTGCACTTTGAGGTAACTGAGGTATACCACCACAACAGTTAACAATACCCAAAGTATCCAATTTCTTTTATTAATGACCCCCTTTAAAATATCTATCATGGTTTGTCATTGGACCTTGCTTCATGGAGTACTTGGTGATATGAATGGTACTAGGAAACTTATTCTCAAAGATAGGATTCTGTAATTGAGTTACTTACCTTTTTAAATTTGAACATAGCTGTAGTCACCATGCCAGTAGCAAATGGGATACCAGTAATCTATAGCAAGCAATTATTTCAAGATTACTTAAATTATTACCTGTGGCTACTTGAGATGAATCGTCTATTGAAGGCAAGGCTTTGATCAACAAAGTGGTTGAAGAACTTGACAGATATAGTAATAAGTACAACTGCAAGAATGAGGGATGAGATTTCTTTTTGAAATCAAGTCATTGAGGATCAGAAAGTACCTTTGGTGACCATAAAAGCACCCCCTATTTCTTGGAGTCACAAGGTAGATATGACTAAAAATCAAACCCATCTATGAGGCAAATTTACAAGTAGACAAAGTTCCAGTGTGCAAGTAAACATTGTTTGGAAAGAATGGATGTCTCACACTTGGAAGAAATTTTGTTGGACTCAGCAAAAGGTTGGATATGTTTAATCTAACATCCCTGAGCCTTACTTGCCAACAGAAGTAATCTCTCACATTTTGAGAAAAGTAGCTTTGCCTTATGTATATACATTGTGATAACTTCATGTAAAGCTCCTGCCTTTAAAAGGATTGTCATTTTGCCTAGCAGCTCTCATTTACTCAAGATCTATACCCAAGGTCAGACCTCAACATGCTCTGGGAAGGCAACTGTCAAGTCATATCTGGGGGAAATGGGTTCATACTCCCAAACAAAAGCAAGACTTTGAAAATATACATTGACCCAGAATCATTAAATATAATGTTAGATCAAATCAAATCTATTATCTTGGTTTCACATACCAGAAAATGAAGAACCGTGAGGGGTCCCAACAGGTTGACTGATTATATGAAATATGGACCCAATGTGATCTTGTTCAATCAGGATGAGATGCTAAAACTTCTTTGGCATACAATGGAAGAAAAGATCAAAAATTTAGGCAGATAGGAACGTTGGAGATAACTTGACTACCCATCCCCATCGTGTTCCTTGAGGCAGTCCACAGTACACTCCATTCACTAAGGTGTTGAGCTTTACATTAATGAGTAGGGCATTAACCTCCTAGAATAGCCCGATGTGAGTGGTTATCTTTTGTAAAAGAGGGACGATAGTAAGAAATGCCACCATTAAAACAGCCTTCCTGATTTCAAAGTAGATGTTGGAATATAGAATGTTTGGGACATTTCACATTAAATATAAGGTAAGTATAATTTCCATAATGAGTAATCTTAATTGGCAAAATTTTCAGTAGTGACTAACTGATCAAAATATACAATGTTTCGATAAATCAGCTCACATGTCATATAGATAGTGTTACAAGTGGAAAAATTACAGTAAGAAAAATTCTGACTCAGGTCACCACGACAATAGAGCACATCTTATCATCCAGTTCATCCTTAACCAAGTTTATAGGCTTGGAATTCTTTGTCTCTTTGCAGCAGTATCATTCAATTCAGCTAAAATCATATTCTGAAATATTCTTCTATGATTTCCACAAGAGTATACCCAAAATATTGGATATAAAAGGCAGATGGATCATGGACTGTTGTAGTTATTCAGATGACAATTTTAAATGCAGCAGTTACTCCAGACATAGTACAATGGTACCTCAGTTCACAAACTTGATTCTTTCCATGATTCTGATTGCAAACCAAGATGGACAAGAACCGAATCAAATTCAGTGGTTAGGTTCAATGTTGAGCCTATGGGGAAACTTGATTTAGTTCTCATCCACTACAGTTTGCAACCAGAATCATGGAGAGAATTGATTTCATGAGCTGAGGCACCACTGTATCTCTAATGAGATCTCAGTATATATAGTTATTGGTCTAGAAGATATTTTTCCTCTGTTGAATTGCAAATCTCACCACAGTTTGTTCTCACCTAGCAGGGATAGCAGCATACCTTCACAGTACTCTCTCAGGGCTAACTCTTCCATTTGTTTGATATAATCCAATCTACAGAGATCCTGATCATTTTAACATTTCACTGGATATCACAGTATCACCTACGCTGATAAAATTGTGCTTACTGGGCCTTATGAGCAATAACTAGCAGGAACTTTATATGCTTCAGTAATATGCATTGTAGGAAGCGAGAAGCCCCACAAATTTTCAGAGACCTGCAATTTAACTGTCTTTGAGATTTGCAACCTGCCTACTGACAAAATTGAGCATAGTCAATCCATTAAACAAGTGGTCTGAAATAGATGATTCCATGTGATTTCAACTTTCCAAGCTTTCATCTTATTGAAATGTTAGTTCATTCAGGTTGTTATAACAAAATATCTTAGACTTATATTATTTATAAATAATAAAAATGTATTTCTCATAGTTCTGGAATGTGGGAAATCCAAGTTGAAGGCATCAGCTGATTTGGTGTCTAGTAAGGGCTTCGTCTGTTTCCTAAATAGTAACTTGTTGCTAAATCCTCACACAGCAAAAGGATGGTAGAGACATATGAAGAATTTCTTCCCTCAAGCCCTTAAATAAGGCTGTGAAGGTGGAACCCTTATGGACTAATCACTTCCTACAAACCTCACCTCTTAATAACTATTGCATTAAAGACTGAATTTCAACATAAATTTTGGAGGGGCATTCAAAACAAAATCTTACATCACAAACCTGTATATCTTTGGTATCTTCTATATTCAGAGTGGATAATTAATTTCCTTCCAAATATCAAACATTTACTTAGTTTGGTACCTCAAACACCTGAGCTGCACATGATTTACCCTCACATTGCAATGCATAAAATTAACAAGGGTGATTTGAGAAGTAAATTGGGAGGGTGAGGATTGTGCACTCTAAACTAATTACCAGTACAGAATGAGGTTCTTCTTCAACCACTATTTCTTCTCATTCTCTTACTACTAATTAATCTCGATACTTTCTTTTTCTGGCCTCAATATCAGAACTCTTCCACATGATGCACACCAAACAATCTGTACCAATCCACTAGGAGAAATAAAACTTTCTTTTAGAACAGAGTCCATGCATACATATTTCAGAATGTCATACTGTACAGGATAAATGCATACAATATCTGTGAATTTAATAAATCTAGTTTTTAAATTAAAATATGAATAACAAAATGGAATGAATCCCAACACAAGTCCATTGGTTAGAAAACATAAAGCGTAAGTGAAAGAACAAGAGAGCAAAATAAAAACTGAGGAGTGAAACGTATATCAAAAAGAGAAGAGCCAGAGTACTTTGCATAGATGGTGAAATAACTTTTACAGATATCTGTTATCTCCCACAGTAAGTCAAATAATTCCTTCAGAAGAAAGCTTAGTTGCTGAACTCTAAGCTACTTCTGGAGTTGAAGCACCATGTCCTGGAAAAATTGTGTAGGAGTTGTTCATCAGTCTGCCCCCTGCGGCAGGTGGACCCCGGCTGTCTACACGCATCCATTTCAAACCAAGCCCCAGGCAGGACCTCACATAAACATCTAAAGACAGACCCTGGAAATCCATGATTCTTCCAAAAATGATTGAGAAAAATATTTAATGTCTATCTAATTCCCAGTGGTATAGAAAATGTCTGTTGTAAGAAGACATAGGGGCCGGGGATTTAGCACAGTGGTTCTGCCGCCTGCCTCAAAAGCACAAGGACCTGAGTTCGATCCCCGGTACCAAAACAAAAAAAAAAGAAAAGAAAAGAAAACATAGATCACAAGCAAATTAAAGAATCTCAGAGAAATGTAATTGATACATGAAACAGTAATTATTAAGATACATTATTAGGCCCTTTTGTCAGAGAGTCCTGAAATTGCGAAAAGGAATCAGCACCACTCTGTATTATAGGATCTCAATAAATGCTGCTAAATTAGAGTTGATAAAATATAATCCTAAAGTTTTCTTTTCTGTTTAACTTTTTCAATTATATAAGTATATGCAAGACATTAAAGCTTTTTATTTCTCCAAAACTATCTTTCAATCAAAGCCAAAGAATAGACAATTAATTACATTCTAATTCATGTCAGAAACAATACTCTCTTGGAAATAGGAATTAAGTAATCACTAGATTAAATATATTTGCAATATTTTCAGCTTGCCTGGACCTGGAACCACTAAGAAAGGTGAGCAAATATTGTTAGATTGTGGCTCCATGTGGTTCCATGGGGAACATATAGGAAGAAAAAAATAGATGAAAAACTTTATTGACTAAATAACCCCATTTCAATCACATTGGCCTCCTTTTTGATCCTCCACAAACCAAACATGCTTCTACCTAACCTTTTTATATTTGCTACTCCCTCAGCCTCAAATATTCTTTCCTCAGATAACCATGTGGCTTGCGCTCTTTCTTCAAGTCTTTACTTCAAGTCACTGTCTCATGGAAGCCTCCTCTGGTTGCCCTATTTAAAAGATTCACCCTTTTTCCTGTTTTCTTTGTTTTCATTAGCTCATATTGCTATTTAACACTCTGTTTTACCTTTTCCTTTCCATTGTAGATCTACCCTACTGGACTATAAACTCCATAAGGGGAAGAATATTTTTTTTCATCACTATATCTCCAGCCCTTAGAATGGTTTCTGGTACACAGCAGACACCTCGCAAATAACTGTTGGATGAATAAGCAGATATGCAAACATGAGATGAGAAAATGTTAGGGAGTCATGACAAAGCTCTCTTTCTTCCTGAGCCCAGGCAATATTTTACCTAGATCTTGAATATACTTTATTTTATAATTTTATTCCAAAAATACCAAGCTGTTTTGGGGGAAGATGGACAGCTCTGATAAATTATGAATGCCTTAGGAAATTTCAAAAATTCTATTCCGTGCATTCTTCACAATACATTATACTTTGACATTTATAAAAATGAAAAACAAATAGAAATTAATCTCATCTTTAAAATATGAATCTTATAAATGTTACTGAACTATTTTTATACCACACATTTTAAAGTATGTATAATAAATATTTTGCTTTAAAATCCATTAATACTTCACAATTTAGAATTTATAAATTAATGGGTATTTATTTTTATAATCATTAATATTTCTGCAACCAATACATTTTAATCCAATAACTCTTTTTTATTCTTTGCCTGTACTATAAAAAATATTGTTAAAACTCAAGGTTTAACCTACATCCAAGAGCTACTTCCTGAAAGTAGATTAGAAGATGAGAGCCCACTGTTGGGAGACCAGGATTAAAGAAGTTGAATTACATTTAAGCCACATAAATGATAAAAAATATACAATTCCAATAAATAGATACTAGACCAAACTTTTACCTGCATGCTCATTAATATATCTGTATGGGCTGATCGCAAAAAGAGGTTGAAACAGTATTGCCATAAGGAAATTCACACACGTGCTCCATCTGGAGTGGATTCTAAGGAAAGGGTATAGTGCAAGCATGTAGCAGATTTACAAGAGAATGGGGAAAGGGACACAAGAAAGCAGTAATCAAACCAGACGGATCCCAACCAATTTAAGGTGCAAACATTATCTCCTGGTGGGATGCATATTTAAAGTCAAAATGAAATTTCCTGAGATGACACGTAAGAATAAAGGAGACTATTTAGGGGAGAGGAAGATTAGCAAGTGCAGGTATCAAGGGAGGGCTGGAGCAGGTAAAGCAAGGGTATGATCAAAGCATGTCGTATGCATACAGGAAAATGTCAAACTAAAATTCCTTGATCTGAATAATTAATATGCACTAATAATAACATGAACAGAGTATTTTTCAAAAAAATATGATTCACAACTTACCTATGGAAATGTTTGGACCATTGGAGGAAAAAAATCCTTCATATTCTATAAACACACCACAGTGTAACCAAGGGTGAATTGTTTTTTTTTTTTAATTTACTCTACATGATACTTATTAGGTGTTTCCAGACTGAAACAAATAAACAACAACTTCAGTTTAAGAGAGCAGGATCTTGT